CGGCGGTGGCGGCGGTATACCTAAGTAAGCTGGATGACCCGGCGGAGGCGCCGGAATTCCGTTAAAATAGACCTGACGTATATCCCGGGAAACCGGAGGAACATGTGACGATGACTTGTTCCCCATCGCATTTGGCCAACGAATGGTTCTTCAGATCCAACACCTTTTGTTGTTAGTGAAATTTTAATTTTTCTCTCTGCCTTCTGTTTACTACAGTACTATTTCGAAATAATCTTTTTCACTACTCATTAAGTCTCTTTTTCTTCTTTTCTTCTTTTTACGACCACTGTATTTCCTCATTTCCCACACAGTTTTCCTATACAATTTTTTTTTTTTGCAAACTCCTCTTTTTAATCGCATTTACGTCCAAAAAAAATTTTTTTTAAATAGAAATTTTTACTGAAATTCTTTTTTGTTGTTCTTTTTTTTTGCTGAATCAACTTCTTTAATAAATCTTCACGGTGAACTGCCAGAATTGAAAGAAATAATATATCTGAAACAAAAAATGACAAAAATCTTACTTTTTGATAGGGAACAAGAAGTGCTGCAAACAGAGCGAAACCGTGATAGCTGCAAAAGTTTTTTTCTACATTACACTAAAACGGTTACACTGACCACCAACAGCCTAATTAAAACCTCGAACTGTTCTATTTGTACAGCTTTAGTAGCGTTGTTGATGGTGAGCAAGATAGACGAAAAACGTCACTAATTTTAATATATTTGATCCTTACTCAGCTATGGGCAGCAGCAGTCTGAGTGGTTTTACCAAGTCCAAATCGCCAGCTCTCCACAAGCAGTAGCACCCTCTGGATTGTCCTGAATCTTGAAAGGTTCCTGTTGGGTAAAACTGTTGTTACAAACGCCCATATTGTATTTGACAGTTCTTTAGATGGGCTTCTATTGATCCTTTAATTCGAACGGTTCTTTATAGTAAATTCAATTTATAATCGCTATTGCTGTTGTTCTTTTTTCATATTGTTTACCTTTACCACCGTTCTTTACGCCATATTCGACATATACCAGTGTATATAGATCGTTTGTTCTTTACTTTTCTTTTCTGAAAAACCTGTTGCTAGTGTATTTTCTCTAATAATTATGGTTATTCATTATGAACTCGCAGAACAAAAACAGAACAAAGTGGACGTTTTGCTGTAGTCACAGTTTCGGGCATTGTTAATGTCATGGAAAAACAACACTGAAGGTTACTGAGTTGATTGTTAGACGATTATGAGGTTCTCAGTTTCTGAAAAAGCTGTCAGAAGTCTTGATGATGAGGAAATCCTTTTTCAATTGATCTTTTCGCTAATACTTGCATTATTAATAGGCCTAAAGAAGGATGTAAATGATAGCAGCAGTTTTGGCTGATGAGTGCCGTAACTTAACGCTTCCATTTTTCATTGAGCAACAGCTATAACCTTCTGTTTTTTTTTCTCAGGTTACAATACTTTAAGTAGTGAACATTTTTTATGGTTCTTTTTAATCTATCATTTCATTTTGACTCTTTTCTTGCCCAGTAAAGTTCAAAAAAATTTAGATGCATAAAGGGGAGTTTTTATGATTCAAGCAAGGAAGAAACTATGCATTGCGTTCGCCAACGCCTTTCCTGGCAAGATCTATTCTTCGCCAAAAATAGTTGTTACTGTACCAAAAATGCATACTGATGTCAATAAAATGTTCACACGTTTTGCAGTTAAGACAGTTTCTCAATAAGCCACTGCTAAAAACGAGTATTTTCAGTTGTCTTAATTTACAAGACTAATGAAAGCGTTCTAAAAAATGCATATAGATAATTTCTGTTTACTACTTCCAGCCACATTTTTCAGTTTAATTTTTGCAAACTGTTGAAATGTTTGTTTAATTTTTGATGACAAGATTTTTGACGCCAAACAAAACAGTGGACACTGAATGAAAATTAAATGATAAAATAAAACTTAAATCGAAAATGACAGGCTAAAATCTTTGACTGATAACTGGAATACATTGCTTTTTAAACCTCTTTAAACGATATATCAGGTCTTTTTATATGATAAAAAAAGAGTTGCTGTTTTGTCATAAAAATATTCTTACGGTGTCAGAGGTTCAGCTGGAGTCCAAGTTGAAGACTTTTGCTAGATAGAAGGAATTCTTGACTGCAAAAACAACCAGTTCAATTTGAAATTGTAACGTTGCTGCTATCCTGTATTCTGTCGCTAAGTTTGGCCATGATCTCCAGACATTTAGAACCGTTGAGTCTCTCGCCGATATTCGTGAGATGACCTTCCGTCTTTGTGATAATTCTCCTGGTCATTCTTCGCAGCTTTCTTTATCATCTTTTTATCATACCGCTGTATCTCGGTGACCTGAAACACCTTAGTCGCGAAAATTTTTAACCACCAATAAGTCTTCTTGGTTTTTTTTTTTGAAACACAATTAATAATCACTTTCTCTCCACCTGTTTCTCTTACTTTTCTTAATTTGTTCAGCTCTCGCTATGAAATGATCATTAACCGAAGTGCCACACGTCAACGAGACTTGGTAGGTTGTTTTGACGTTTTTTGAAGTCTTTTACCAATACCACTGCATATAATGTGGCCTGTAAACTTGATTTTTTCACTCTTTTTTTTATTTATTTACAGAAAAATTAAAAATATTTTAAGCCTTCCACTATTTGGTGTCCTGAATTGTCGAAAATTACTGTTCTTTTGCGATTCTAAAAATCATTCAGCAACAAATAAATCTTTATCTATTTTGTTACCGAGTGCAGACAAATAAATTTTGTTTGCTTTTCTGTAATTTAAATTAAAACTAAACCTCAAGTCATTATACGCTGCACTTAAAAAGTCGTTATTTATAAAATTCTGGAACAGCTAAAACTGAATTCGGCAGTTTTCAAATTTTCGCTTATTATCACTGCGTTTAAAAAAGACCATTTCAATCTACGGTTTTTTTTAATTGAGAAGTGAAAAAATTAGATTATGTGTGAAAGCTTTTCTTTTCTTCACATTGGAAAGGAATTGCTTAATCTGAAAGAAAGCGGAATTTCATTTGAAAAAATTGTTTTGGTGAACATAAAAATAGAAAAAAGATTGACGTTTTTGCATTCAAAGTGCATTGAATATACCGCAATCGGTCGCAACTGCTACTACTAATAATGAAATATTCGAACCACTTTACTGCAGAGAATACTGTTAAGAACTGAAGGTTTTTAGACCAAAAGTAGATAATCAAAGATTTTGGAAAAGTAGGAAGTGTTTTCGATTGCTTAATAGCCAAAAAAACCTAGAGATTTTTCGACACAGCTTTCACTCTGATTACCGTTACGTTCATGTATTCCTCATAACTGTTGAACAACATTTAGTTGCTTTTTATTTTTCAAACAGTGATAGTGTCAACCTCTTCACAAACTGTCTATAATTTAGAACCTAGCAAGCTACAACCAGATGACTTTCAGAGCTCATTTAAAAGAACTTTTTAGACTGTAAACAGCATAGCTTCTTCGACAAAAAATATCTGATAGTTTATAACACAGAGGGATCTAATTGTGTTCCTGTCAAAAAAATTTGCAAATTTTCTCAGGTTTTATTATTAAAACGCCTAAGAAAATAAACAAATTTTTTCTCACTGCAAATGGATTGAAGGTGACCATTTGGCGATGTTTTAAGAAGAAACTACTGATTTTTGTGCATAGTGGATATAGCAGCCAGACTGTAACGCCGTAGAATATCTTAAACAGAAGATTCTAGTCTCAAGATTTTAATTATGTATGTGGAAGATCATAAAACGCTGCAGTTTGCACATAAGTAAACGCTACATGCGGTGTTTGTTTAAGTAAACTCTATTCTTTTTAGCTGCTTCTCATTTGTACTGCTGTTACGTACAGTAATAATAACAAAAATTTCAATAAGGAAAATAGTAATAATAAACGTTGGTGATAATGACTGCAATAACTGTATTAATTTTGATAACAAGTGTTAGAAGTAATAATATCTTTTGCTGTGTTTTTTCAAGAAACTATGAGCCAACAGGTCTCTTTTTCGAACGCACGAAGTATTTTATTTATTGCAAAAATTTCATATTAATTCATTTGACGATAAGCAACATAAAAATTTCGCAAAACAACTGGGTCTAAAATGATTTACGAAGAGTAATAATTGTTCGGTAAAATTGAATCAATTATTCAGGCAATCAAAAACGCATCAACTAAACAGCAATCAATTGTTTTTGTTTTTGAGGCGACAGAAACTTGTATTTACATACCTAATTATGTACGTACATATGTATTTTTATATATATATATATCAATATTTTTTTACAGTTACGTGTAATCAGTGCAAAAATTAAACAAATTCTTAGACATTTTCAAACTATTTTGTTGTCAGATACTAATACCATGACGCTTGTATATTCCTTTCACCTTCTTCTTACCGAAGAGGAACGTCCTTCCATTCTGGTGGTCGACATCCATTTTTTATCGTAAGATACGTTGAGGCTAATGGTGGTGTAGCTGTTGCTATTTGTGCTGTGCTGTATTTTTGAATATACGGACAATGAATTAAAATAATAGAAATTTTGTGATAGACGGAGCTGTAACCATTTAAGAAAGCCATTTAACAGCAGCAACAGCAATAAAAAAAAAAAAAAAAAAAAAAAAAAAAAAAA